GTTTACGTTAGCATGGCTAATAATAGCAGAAGCTCCGTTGTACAACCATATGAGACCCAGAGGCAGAGTCGTGGTCCCAGCTTCTTTTTTTTCTCCCCCTCCTCCTGTGTGGGAGCTCTGCGCTCACTCTGCATGCTGTTACCAGAGCAGGGAGCAGCAGCGGTCAAAATACCTCAGAAAATCAAACAAATAGGCTTTAACAAGGCTTTAATAAGCTAAACAATAGAGGTACATGAGAAAACGTGTTCATAACGAACGAAAATAAATAAATAATTAAATTGTGTCCATGCTGGTCTCAAACCCTGGTCTCCCGCTCTCTGGTCCAACAGTCTACCCATTGCCCTATTGGAGACTTGTTGTGAAATGAGCTGCGCATTACACAACAACACCGTGACTGCTTTTTATACTGAGGAGGTGGAGCCTCACCCGGGGTTTGCTAGGTGAGGGGCTGAACGCAGGTTCCGGTGGGTTGTCGTACGGCTTGTGACATCACAAAATGACAGAAGTATAAAACTTGTCATTAATATACATTAAAAATATATTTACTTACAGTAAATATGCCCCTGGGTGCATTTTTTGGTCCTAGGACTGTTTTGTTAAGAAGTACATACCCAAAGTTGAGTAAAAAAAGCTTTAAAAAGCGAATTTTGCATAACAGGTCCCTTTAAGTCACTATTTTTCAGTCTACTTTTTACTTCTACTTCTTACATTTTCACACAATTATCTGTACTTTCTACTCCTACATTTTTTCAAAAAGGTAAGAAGTAGAAAGTTGTTACTTTTATTTCATTTTTGCTCGTTTTCATTCCAGCTTGTTATTGTAAAAAATAAATACTATCCATATAAACTGTTCCTCCTAGATAGAGTGAATTTACCATATTTATTCATGTATAATACGATCTCGAGTATAATACGATCATCATTTTTGGATCTTACAAAGCATAAAAATCAAATTATCAATAACCCGTGTATAATAATATCCCCCCACTTTATAGATGATTTTTAGGGTTAAATTTCTAGTATCATACATGAATAAATACAGTAATTGTGGTTGAATGAGAAGTATAAATATATAAAATTCTGATACTGTATTAGTT